CACATCAAGAGATACAATAACTAAAAAGTCAATACATGCATTTTGTATTTTAAAAAAGCAAATTTTCAGTCAGAAAACATTCACCCATAAACTACCAAACACACAGGTAACACCTCCCAATACATACACATTTACACATTTTACCAGTTACCTCCTGGTTTCAGTATACACAGAAGGCATGGCCACCAAATAATTAGACTTTTTTTTTTCCAATTCAAATAAGCTAGAGAGGAACAAAGCAATGTGAAAAGGAGTACTGTGAAAATAAAAACCTAAATGCCCTTCAACTGTTAAATGTGTAAACCAATTACGGTACATCTAGCAAGATACTACCTAGCAATTAAAAAGAAATGAATTATTGATACTTGCAACAAAGAAGACTCTAAATCATGAAAAGTAACCAGACACTCCCATAACTCCCACCAAAAAAGATCATGTACTATACGATTCCTTTTAGATAAACTACAAAATGCAAAGTTATCTATAGTAACAGAGAACGGATGAGTGGTTGCCTGACAGAAAGTTACCAGAAGGATTATAAAACAGCAAAAGGAAATTCGGGGGAATGATGGATATATTCATTACCTTGACTATGGTGATGGTTTGACCAGTATATACATGTCAAGCGTATCAAACTATATACTTTATATATGTGCAGTTTACTGTATGACAATTACAGATATAACATGGTGATATTCCTCGTTCAGCCCCACACCAACACAAAAAAGTGATTATCACAATGAAACAAGTCATATAAATTTTTGGTTCCCCAGTGCATGTAAGACTGATATTTAAACTATACTATTCTATTAAGTGTGTCACAGCATTATACCTAAAAAAAACAATGTACATTAAAAACAATGTAAATTAAATAAGACTTTATTACTAAAAAATGCTAACAATCACCTGAGCTTTCAGCAGTTGAAATCACTGATCACAAAGTACCATAACAAATATAATGAAAACGTTTGAAATATTGTGAGAATTATCAAAATGTGACATAAAGACATGAGGCAAACAAATGCTGTTAGAAAAATAGCACCAATAGACTTGCACAGTGCAGGGTTGCACTGAACCTTCAATTTGTAAAAAACACAGTATCTGCAAAGCACATTAAAGATATGCCTATATTTCTCAATAAGGCTGTTGAAAAAGAAAAAGACCATTAAAAAAAAAATTCATATTCCTAGTACATTCTGTTTAGATCACCACCATCTCTTCCAAACAGGTGAATATCCAAAAGTCATGGAACTTTTTCCCTTAGTGATTTCCATGCATGAACAAAACCTTAATAACCTAAGATTTAATAAATAACAACGGTTAATATCCACATAGCTGTGATCACGTGCCAGACATTGTTTTAAGCACTTTTCTGATACTAACGTATCTAACTCTCACTTCAACCCTAGTTTACAGATGAGAAGCCTGAAGCAGAATGTTAAGTAATCTGCTCAAGGTCACACAGCTAGTAGCTGGTGGAAGAGCTAGGATTTGAACCCTGGGGTGTGACTCTGAAGGTCACTTTTAAGTTCATTTCCTTGCCCCCTATGCTCTACTGGCACACACAAGACACCATATGTGAAAATCAAAAGCAATACATATTGCACTTAAAGAATACTTCCATACACACACAGAAGTATTTGCTACATTTTGAAAACTCCCAGGAGGCTAAATAAAAAACAACACATTGGAGCACCTGGGTAGCTCAGTCTGTTGAGCACTGACTCTTTTATTGTGGCTCAGGTCCTGATCGCGTCAGGGTGCGCTCTGAGCTTGGAGCCTGCTTAAGATTCTTTAACCCTCTCCCTTCCTTATGCGCTCTGATAAAAAAAAAAAAAAAAATTAAACAAATAAATAAAAATATTTTTTTTAAACCTTCATTCTTTTCCCAATTAACAGGTGGAAAAAGGACAAGCCAGAAAGACTGGACAACTTGCTAAGCACACAGAATAAATGATAAGTTGACTGGTTCTTGGGAAGCTGGTTCACCACATTTCCAGTCCAATTCTCTCCAATGCCTTCAAAGTCCTATTAATTTAAGTAAATCTATCTGGGAGACAAAAATCTAAATACAGCATGTGAAAAATATAAAAGTAATTTGCTGTTTTCTCAAACACCTTATTGGTTCCTAAATTCCATCCACAGGGTCTAATATTCTGCAGATAGTGGCCTACAGTCTTTTTTTTTTTTTTTTTTTAATGCTGTCCCCACCCCATCTTCCAAGTGATTTTCAGGAGCAGCTAGGATTGAGAATTCCTGAGACAAATGAGATTTAGATTTCTCATTGAAAAGACAGAAGAGTGGGGCGCCTGGGTGGCGCAGTCGGTTAAGCGTCCGACTTCAGCCAGGTCACGATCTCGCGGTCCGTGAGTTGGAGCCCCGCGTCAGGCTCTGGGCTGATGGCTCAGAGCCTGGAGCCTGTTTCCGATTCTGTGTCTCCCTCTCTCTCTGCCCCTCCCCCGTTCATGCTCTGTCTCTCTCTGTCCCAAAAAAAATAAATAAACGTTAAAAAAAAAAATTTTATAAAAAAAAAGAAAAGACAGAAGAGAGCAAGATGCCACAAAAACTGGTCAAGCATGGCCCAGGGTTTTCCAAATCAATACTGAACTACTGAACACATGCAGGCTTTTGAATTCAACTTCTAATAAATTAAAAGTAAAAATATGCAGAGGAAAAATGTGCACACAGGTGTTGCCATGGCAACAGTTACATAATATACCAGAATGACAAATTCTCAGCTTTTTAGAATGCTAAATTGGCATTCGGACATCAAACTGATAACTAAAAGCAAAGGAAAATATGTCACATATCCGATGCATGTAAAACACGGAATAAACTAACAATACACTGTGAACTGTTTAAGAACCATAGGTTTTCAAGAGACAGTCTATAGTTGATGCCCCGAATTAATGCTCCTTGAACTTTAAGGTGCACTCCCTAGAAAAGATTCTGAGTCAGTGGGTCTTGGGATGGAGTCTGAAACTAACGTTTCTGAGAGGCTCCCAGGTGATGAGAGTCAGTATACTACACTTTGAGCAAGACCCTAAACCTTGAATATTGATCATCAAATTAGCCAACTGGTCTTCAAATATGGGGGTGTCTAGGTCCCAAGAAACAAGTGTCAATACAATTTACCCCTAGTATGGAAAAAACAAACAAACGTGAGGATACTGAGAAAGAAGCCAGGGGATACTTGTTGTCAGTCTTGTGGCTCAAGAACCATAGAATATTGTGACTTGCTGCAACCTAGTAGCTGTCGAGGTCAGTTGGAATGTAAATTCCATGAGAGAGAGGGGTTGTTTGTTTGGTTTACCGCAGAATCTTGATGGTCTAGCACACATTAGGTACTCAATAAATCCAATGAATAAATGAACGGGCAGTATATACAAACACAATCCGTATTTATGTCACAACCTAAAAATGTCTGAGACTGTATTTGTATAAATCGTGGTCGGCAGCCATAGTTTGATACAAATACCTGGCCCATTCACTGATTTTGTCCTAAAGAAAAAACCAAAAAATTACCCAGAGTAATACTTTCACTTTCAAGCCCAGGTTTCTTGCACCCTCTGTTAACAACTCTTTAGCACTTTGAAAAAAACGAGAAAAAGGTGGAAGCACAGGAAAAAGAATTCAGAAAAGGCTCAAAAATCAAAGGAAAAAAAAAAAACAGAGGGGGAGAGGAGATGGGCAAATAGTTCAGTGCAAGTGAAGGACCATCTCAGGTTGTCAGGAGTTCCATGTTCTTACCTATGATGGTGGCAGGGTTTGGGTTCGGGCTTTTATTAGTTTTGTTACTGTCCAGGGTCACTGGTGGAGAAGTACTTGGCTGAGCAAACTTAGACTACACAGGCAGCAGGCTCTGAAGCCCACCTTCAGGTGCTTTGGGGATTCAACCTTCGGCCTTACTTCCCCTTTCCCAGGGTCTCCCCGCGCGTTGGGGGGTGGGGGTGGGGAGGGGAAGCTGCCGCTGCCCAAACACAAGATGATTTGGGCAGCCTCACTGTCGCCTTGAAGCCATAACCAGGAGTTAAGATGGCTGCGACACACTGGGTGAGGGGCCTGAATAGCGAGAAGGATCTGCCCGAAAGAAAAATGGCCACCGTTCATTTCTCAAGGACAGCCCAAAACAAAAATGGCGACCAAGGCTGGCTATTCAGAGACTAGGAACGCAGTGAATATGATTGGCAGGTAACGAATCTCCATTACCCATAGTGCTAGACCGCAGAGGTAATCGAGAGAAAAAGAAAACCCAACTTTTTTCTGGTACAGAGCTTCTTGATACCGGAGTTACTAACACAAGAATTACATTATAAAAACGGTTGGAAAGTAAAGGTGGCTTTCACAATACCAGATAAACTCTAAAATAGCGATTAACATAATTCCCTCCATAATTATTTTGAATGCTACAAGAGAATGAAAGTTTTGTCCTCCAACTAAGAAACAGGATGGGGAGAGAGCGCCAAAATTATCCACTTTGAGGACAGCAAGTGTTGGCGGACTCCTAATCTCCCCGTAGACCTCCCCCTACAAAGAGCTGAGGGTAAAAGCTTTGTGATGTGGCCCGCTCGCACTGCGCATGTCCACTTTCCAGTGCGATGCGGGGAAGTGGTGGTAGTCCAATCCTTTTTTCCTGGTTTTGAAGGCACACGTAAAAAGGCGGCGAGGAACCGGCGCTGAAAAGGAACCGCGCCTTGTGATTGGTCAAGTCTGGGAGGACGGAAGACTACCGCGAACTATTGACTACTGTGTGATTCATTCAATAAATGTCTCCTAAACGCGGGCCATGAGGCAGATACTGTGCCCTAACAAGTCCATTTGATGCTAAATTCTTTGGTTTCAACACATTTGCTGAGACTGATGCTAAATAAGCTCCGCCCCCTGGCCCTTTTCGGTCTGGGCCAAAAGCTTTCAGGGCTGAGACCCTCGCTAAAACCCGGAGAAGCGGATTTTGAGCAGCGCACGCGCCAACCACAGAACTACGCATGCTCCGTCTCCAAGCCCCGAGCGCAGGTTGCTGGGACAGGCTGCGGCGGCTCCGTGCGGCTCGGCCTCTGGGGCCAGCTGGTGGCGGTGGCCTAGAGAGGCTCAGCGGCTGGTGGGCAGGTGAGAGCTCTGGAACCTCAGGTGGAAAAACCTGCTTTCTACCTGGCCGAAGAGAGGGGAGGTGGGCTTGTTGGTGCCCCTTGCCCCCTCTCAGAAAGGTCACTCGTGTCTTCACTGAAGGATATTTGGGGGCGGGGACAAGGAGGCCGGCTCCTTATAAAATTAAAGACCTACCCTTAAAATAGCCATGGGCAGTAAATACTTGCAGCTGGAGGGAATGTGAATGGCGGTAGGGCGGCTAAGAATTCCAGGTGTAGACCCTCTTCCCCTCGCATCTGCGCGGCCACGCCGTGGAGTAGATGGAAAAGGTGTTCCAGTGAAAGCACCGATTGCACCTGCGCTGCCACCTTCTAGCTGAAATCTGTGTGACTTGTTGGTCACTCCTTCGCAGGGAGAGAGCATACTATGCCTGTGTCTATGTGGGAGGTGACGGCCACCCTCTGACGTGGAACTGGAAGTCAGAACTGTTGGACAGCAGGGTTAGTGCCAACTGTGTGAAAGCAGAAGCAGGACTCACAGGACTTTTGACATTAGGGGGACGGAATCCTTTTGAGATGAAGACGTCCTGCGTCATGTTTGACCGTGCCCAAATACTGTAACTGTCTCAGAGGTTCTCAATTCTGGCAGTTTAGTCATTCATTAACTTCCTCCATATATTTATATATCCACATATGTTGTATATGTATATATATAATTGTGTGTATGTACACACACACACACACACACACTGAGTTAGCAGATTCGTCAGTGACCAAGACAGACATAGTCCCTGACCACATATAGCTTATATTCTAGTGATAGGAGAGGGAACAATAAACAAGTACGCTAACAGTGAACAAAGTGTTTCCAGATTATGCTAGGTGGGTTCCCAGGGAAGGAGATTTGTGGGCAGGACATTTATTAGGAAGGATTTTTCTGGATCTTACCAAGGAAGAAAGGAAGCAGGAATGGGTGGATAGAAAAAGTTAAGCTGCAGTTCAGTCCCAAGGGAACTCTAGGTGATGGTTTGGCCCTTCAGAGGTGTCCCAAGTTGGAGGGAAGAGCCAAGTCTATACCTGGGTGGTCATTGGATGCCTATTGCCCTGGAAAGAAGGCCTGACTTCCCTTCTCTTCAGCCAAGTGTGTCCTGTAAAGGGACTGACAACTGAGATCTGTCTCAGCAATCCGGAGAGCTGGGGAAATAAGCCTTTCATTCTTAAAGGGGATCGAGGTGGCACATCACAGCATTCACCACAATGGGAGGGCTTCAGAAGTAATGGTGGGATGTGCTAGAGAATAATGATGGTGGGAGAGGGAAGAAACTTTAGGCTGAGTGCTCAGAGAAGGACTGAGTAGGTGACATCTGAACTAAGCACAAGAATGAAACCCTGTGTAGGACAAAAGGAGGAAGACGCTCCACTTTCTGTTATGCGCTGAGAATATAACCGAGAAAAAACAATGGCTGCTACCTCCTGCTGCAGTGGGTGGCTGTTACTGGTTTTTATAGATATTGACTCCCTGCTACTACCAAAGATGGAGTATGTAAAAATAGATGGAAGATAGGGGAGAAACTGAGAAGTCTGGAAGTTTTGAGAAAATAGTCAACTTGGTAAAGACTTTTAATCTCTATACAGTTTGGGTTGTTTTTTTGTTGTTGTTGTTTTTGCTCGAATACAGCATTTAATCATGTTTTATTTGGATTGTACCTTTCTCTTCTCAGGCTTGTATTCTCTTTTGAGAACAGGAACCATGCCTTATTCAGTTTGGTAGTTACCACCACACTCACACCATCCCCCACCCAGCCTAGTGTCCTGCTAGCACCTAACAGACACTAAGTAAACATTCAAATAAAATTAATCTCACACATATTTGAAGTGAAAATTGATAAGCCCTAAGTGATATAAACACTGGAGATATGTCTTTATAATATTTCTCAGTTTTATAAATTATAACCAAGTATTATAGTTGAAATATTAGGTGATAATAAACAACTGCTTTGGTCAAGCAGGAATCTCCAGAGGTGCCTTTTTCTGTTAATTTGTATTAAAGATAATATACTTCCACTAATAATAGTTGCCATGTATTGAACTCTTCCCACATGCTAGACCCTTTACTAAGCAATAAATAAATATAAATATGTAGTGATCTTCATAATATAGATGATATTACAGATTAATTAAATTGAGGCAGGAGAGAAGTGATTTGCCCAAGATGATAACTAATTTGTGGTAGTGAGAATTGGATTCCCATCACTACTTAATACCTTTGCTCTTAAGTAACCAACAACATTTCTGAAAATATAGTCCACTAGGACTCTAATATTTAACCCCTCAGCAACTCTGTTAGCTGTTATCAGAGAAACAAATAAATTATTCACCCTATTTTTTGCTGCTTTGCTCTGTTTGAATTTTCCTGTTTCCTTTAAAATTTGCTTTCCTGGCTCTCACTGTAGGAGTTTGCTACCTTTCCTATAACATCCTGGAATCTGATTATCGATCCACCCCTGTGTAATCAAAATGGCCCCAGAGATCTCAGAACCTCTTTCATGAGAATCAGGGTATCTTTATTCACCTCCAGACTAACTCAAACTGCCCAGAGAAGCAGGCCTCCTTTATGGGGACCACATCCCTTAGTCTGGGCAGTCATTCCAGTCCTCTTCTTACTACACTCGAGGTTGGCTCTATTCCTTTTGAAATAATCAAAATAAGAGTAATAGCCAATAATCACTGAGTCCAGACTAAGTGCCAGGTATTGTGCTAACTTCACAACAAGTTTGTGATGTGGAAGTCATTACATTCATTTTACAGATGATGGAACTGAGGCTTAGTGAGGTTAGTGACTCATCCAAGGTCACAGCTAATGGTAAAGTGCAGGGGTGGAGACGAAAGCTCAGGCAGTAGGATTCCACAGTTCATCCCCTTGATCACACTATAAGACAGTGCATTCTTACAAAAATGATTGATTGTGCTTTACCTTCTGAAAACTGGTAGACAGGAACTAGATCCTGGTGTTTCTTATGCTGTACTAAGAAATTTAGATTTCACCTTCTAACAAAAATATCACTAAAGGCTTCTAAGCAAAGCATAACAACCAGATGTGGGGATTTTGCAAGATGGCTGTTAAGTGTGTGAAGTATATATAGTGAAGAGTAAAGTAGAACAGTGATTCTTAGACTTTAACTTCAAAATTTAACGTACTCTCCAGAATATGTTAAAACACAGATTACTGGACCCCACCCTAGAGTTTCTGATTTGGTAAGTCAGAGGAGGCCACAGAATTTGCATTTCTCAAAAGTTCCCAGGTGATGCTAATGCTATTGGTGAGGGGGACCACATTTTGAGAGCCACTGGATTATAAGCAAGGATGTCATGTGAAGTAATGAGGGTCAGGACTATGGCTGTGGGAAGAGGTTATATATAAGAGTTTCATGTCAAATGGCAAGGCTGGGTGACTGATAGGATGAGGAATATAAGGAAAAGGGTAGAGACAACTATATCCAGAATTGAATGGCTTAGCAGGAAATGTTTTATGTTTTTGGGTTTTTTTTTTTTTTTTTTT